TCCTTATAATGATGCTCTTTTCATAAGCTGCTCTTTTTAAGTCTGCTCCGTCTAATGATGCTCTTTTCATAAGATGCTCTTTTTTAAGTTGCTCTTTTATAAGCTTGAAACCAACTGTTTGTAAGAAATCTATGTGTCCGCTCTAAACAAAGGTTTCTTCAAAATGTAATCAAAACTTTTTGCTTCTTAAAGAATTTAACCGGTATGGCCTGAAAAGTGCCTGATTGTTGGGTCCAGGGCTGAGTCATGCAGTTGGGTATTTTGGCCTGTACAATCTGACAGCGTGGGACCTAAATGCATTTATTATTGTTTACACCTTAAAAACTGGTTTAATGTCATCTCATGAGGAAATATATAAAAAGGTGATGAGGGCAGTGAGGAGACATTTTACCTTTAAGATTTTGCCGAGAAAACAAAAAACTGGAAAGTTTTAGTTTCCGATCTTTCATTTTTATCAGGTTTTTTCAAGTTCGTTTCACTGAAAATAATGTTTGTGCATTTTTTCCTAAATTTTTTAATTATTTAAAAACATTTTTTCCCCATCTGTTTTAACGCAATTGACAGTGTATTTTTTTATTTTCTTTGGAACAAAACGAAAGTGGAAATAAAACTAAAAGTTCTTTAAATAATTTTAATTTTTGGTAAACACTTTATTTCGATTTTTGCATTCAATTCATTAAGACGGCAGACGGTTTTGTAATAGTTAAATATGCTCCTGTCAATGATAAAAGTCAATTAAAATCAATGAACTAATTAATGAAAATCAGGTTTAATGGGTTTAATGCAAATCTGTTAAATTTGAATTAGTATCCGTCCTCACTAATAGTATCAGGGTGTATCTAGACTAGACCAATCAATAATCATTAATTACAAATAAAAACAAGATTTTTTAAATTTAAATTAAAGTTGTTAAAAATGAATGACGTTACCTACACATAACACAGATTTACCCGCAAAGAATAAGACTGTAAAGACGACCTAAAACTATCAAATATGAAAATCTCTTAAATTTGGTCTTCCGCCTTGAATATAGTTTTTTTTTTAATGCAAATCAGATAATTTGGCAAAGAAAAAAATAGGGTTTCAATTGCAGGGAAAAATGAATTTAAGACAGTAAATTCAGAACAGTCGTCTCTGAAGTCTCATCCTCTGTGGGTCACCCTGTAGTTTAATTATAAAGGAACTGAACACTTGCCACAAACTCTGATTTTCTAATTTATTTCATCTACAACCTCTTGTAGCGTGTAAACCTTTGATATTTAAACTAATAAGTCGATCAGTGTCAGAATTTAATGAATTTAAGCCGCGTCTTAAATCTTGAAAAATTTATTACAAATTTAAGTGGAACCAACAAAATTTGAGCCGTGGCTTAAATTTAAACTTCGACTCCAATTTTTCAATTCGGCATCAGAATTCATAATTTGAAATATTTAAGGTTTTGCCTTTTCTTATATATGAGAAGATTATGATTAATTTTCTAATTTTTTTCATATGTTCTTATTTTCTTACATGGATACTATTTATTGAGACTAATATACATAATTACTTGTAATCAATTTATTATTCAATTAAAAAAAACAGATAAACATCCTCATACACAATGTTTCATGTATACCAATTGTCATGGACCAATCTTCAGTGAGGTCTGTTCTCGACATGAATATAAATTAGGGCCAACCTCACTCTGGGCCGTAGTAAATTTGAATTCGAAAAGGACCTGCCCAGTTTGTACCGGCCTGCCAGATAACAGCGTGTACTGACCCGATCCTATGACCATATTCTGTACAGAACGTTGCATTAACCAGACTAACATACGACATATGACAACTTCCATGACGCGTGCAGACTTTTGACAGTACCCGGCCTAATTCTAGGCATATTTGACCGACCCCACTGGCTTAGTCCACCGTGACCTCTCAAAACAATCTACCCTGGTTAGGCGGGTCCAAACTGCATAGTAAATTGTGATTGCTTATTTGTAATATCTCATGCTTTGTAGTTATAAAGGAATATGAATATGAAACATGGATAGTTTATGGTCTGTTTGTTTGATTCTTATATATGTCGAATTGACTGAACCAATTAGGTCAAATTATCTTTAGGGCCCAGGGGTGACTTTTTTGCTAGTAAGGATTAAAAAATGTTTCATTTTCACAAACTTTGAAAATTCGCCAATAAAACCCGGAAAATCTACTAAATTTGTATCTGTAGTTGTTTAATCATGGACGAATAAAAACAACAACAAACAAAAAACACTCCTAGTTAAAAAAAGGACAAGATCATTCTGAACAGCTGGTTTTAAGTTTATATATATATACGTAGTGTGTGTCTTAGTTATTGTTTTCAGTTTACAAAGTATGGTGTGAAAGATTTCAATAATCCAGATAATAATTTCTCTTTATACTATGGGGGGGAAGCACCCCAGGGGGTACTCTTGAGGGGGGGGGGGTACTATTTTAGGAAAATAGATTGAACAATTCAGGGATCAATATACTTCTCAATTTCAATCTTGTTTGAAAAAGTCAAAATAATTTCAAAATGTTTTTTTATTCTTTTTTATTTTAATTGGCATTTTGGGGGGGATGGGGAGACAATATTCTCTAATCAGGAGGACAAATAAAAACTATTTATGGACTAGATCTCAGATTTGATCGGAGCAGACGGTTCGGAGCAAAGCTCAAGGTTCAAAACCCCAGCTCAGGGTAGAGTATACACTTCTCACTACTCAGCCAAAACTTGACATTGCAAATAGGAAACTAAATCTTAAACCCTTCAAATGCAATATTTTAATTCAACAATAACATTTCGTTTATAAATTTTCTTAATCAAATCGTACAAATTCAGTTTCTAAAAAGTATCAATTTGATCTAGTTTTACATCTTTTCTCCTAAAAGAAAGATTGACAGTAAAATGGTAAATATTTTATTTTTGTTCATCCTTTACTCCTTTTCATTTTTGTGAACGGTCCACTGTCGCATGACTCTAGAGTCCTACACTAGAATCTCTCTATAAGAAGGGGTTGATTTATTTGGTCTACCGTCCCGTTTTACCTTATGTATGTGTATTGTGTACTGTACAGCTTGCTCTAGCTCCTTATAAGTCGGCCCGGCATTTGTAATGAACCGGAGTTTACAGTGACTAGGTTTATGGACACATGAACTTTTTTATCTTTGGATGAAAGTAATAATTACAAGATAATCTGTCATTGTCATTCCTTACATTTGTCAGAATCTGTGACTCTGTATTCAAGATAAATGGTTTATGTAAGAAATGGATGTAGTTAAACTCCCCCTGCAATCAGTGCATCAATGCATCATGCAGTCAGGCATAATTCGGCCTGTGTTCAAGCCTGGCAAAACCAAGAGGTTTCAACCACATCTGCCCTATACACATCCACCTCTATGCAATGATGTCACTTCAATCTTTCGATGTCTGTCATTTTTTCGTCAGGTTTTTGTAGATTTTTCAACAATTTAAATTGTGAATTTTTAGATTTTTAGAGATTTTGTGAAAATCAATATAACCTTCTGATTTACTTAACTTGAAGAGATTACTAAAGCCCTCTCAGATAAGAACTCAGCTCTCATAACTGGTCTATTTAAGATAATATCTTAAATTGCAATATTCAAGCATAATTCTTGAATTAATATCTTGTGAGGCAAACATACAAAGCTAGTGATGACTTTATAACGAATAAATCATGCAAATTCTTGTTTACTTGTTCTGTAAAATCACCGTTAGTGGTTTTGATTCAACTATTTAGAAATGTTAAAAGATTACACACTGTATATTTATAATGTTGAATTGGTCGGGCTGTAATTAAATATATTCGATTATATTAAATTGGACACATCGTATTTAATTTCTTTCTAAACTGTCAATCCTTCAAGAAAACTTTTTAATAAACAATAGTAATTAAAAATATGGATCTTAAGGAGTATAGGGATTAGTTAGGGATTAAGGAGGTGCAGTGAGAAGATTAGAGGAAAGGATTAGTTTAAACCGATCTAATTAGATACTTCTGGGACCAATCTTAGAAGATTTTAATTTAAGTCTAAATATTAAAACATTTTTTTTAAGAATCGATCTTTTGCACAAAGATTCTCATTTTAATATAAACACACACACTACTTTAGTCTTGAATCTTTTTAGATTATAATAAAAGATCGAAATATGTATAATTAGGTTTAAAATGATACCAAGACTATTTCAAAAACCTTGAGTAACCAATTCTACATTCCAGAAATATGTCTAAATACTATAATTATATAATATAGCTGAATACATTATACATATATATTAAGATATTATATGAAATCATAGTCTCTAAAAACCTCCTATTAAGAAAAGATCATCATTTTTTAAAAGCTTATAGATAGTAGGGGGAAGGGGGGGGGCACCACATGGTTTAGCATTTGATTTCTCCAAATTCATAATTCTAAAATTCTAAAGTAGAATTATAAGCATATATAATACTGTTTACTCGCATGATTTTACAACAACTCTTTCTTAATTAATGGGTATAATTTAAAATACACAATTCAAAATTATATATAAATAACGTATCGTATATCATAGACGATAGGACTTTTTACTACAAAAAGTCCGTAGAATTGGTGTCTCGAAAAATTCTAAGTGAAATTATTTCAGAATAAGAAATTTTCAATTAAGTCTTAGACCTTTAAAGCTTGAAACTTTTGCTATGGTTTGTTTTTAAAATATGTGTGAAGGTTTAGGAAGAACTATTATGTTACATGATAAAAACATCCCCCCACCCCATCGTCTACCTGTTTTGGTTACAACCCCTCCCCCCCCCTCTCTCTCTGCTGACCAATTTAAAACTGGTTTTGGTCATGTCGGGGTTCAGCCACTGCTCCCTGCACCGACCAGATCACCATCTTGGAATCCGAGTAGCGGGATGATCCTTGGGTAGTGATGGGCCGGCACGGATTGGTTCTGCCCGCTAGGGATACGACCCGGCGCGATCCCTGGTACAGTCGACCTGTAGACAGTTTAGCCAGGTGAGCGGTGCTGGTAACGTCATCTATACACTCACGTCAGATGAAACTACGCAAAACATACGATTCAGAGAATCCGCAAGTTTAGTTACCACACACTTTTCCCACGCTCTTTCAATCAGTCTAGTTTTACAGCTGATGAGACCCTAGTTAGTGATAAATCTTAATTTAACCGAAGAACTGGACCGTTGAGAAGTTAGGAATGATGTAGCTCGTAGAGAAGTGTAACATCATACTTTGTAATGATAATTACAGAGCGGTAGCACTCAGTGCTTTTAATATAAAATATCTCAAGTTAAAAGTGTAAAATACAAGAGATGCAACAACATGTTTTTCCAAAACAGTCTTGATAACAACTTTTACAGTACAGTTAGCTGTTAATCAGCTGTTAATCACAACACTGTACACAGCTGTTGAAAGATGAGACGGGTTACGATTTTTCTCATCCTTCTCTCTGTAAGAGGATTCTGCTTTCAGAGAACAAGAGAAAAAGAGCATCAAAGACATGGAAAAAGTAAGAATAAAATAAAATTTTGGAAGAGATCATACCTTTTTTTAAAAGCTTTTAACAATTTATTTTTATTGGTTAGAAACATAATAATAATGCTTACCTTATTGATTTTGAAATAGTAGAGATTTTTAAAGGAAGACCTAAATAAGGCTCAAAGTTTTTAACTATAACGGAATTTTGGGTAATTTCCTAGAGAACTATTTTTGGACCCCTACCCTCTCGCCCCCCCCCCCCCCCTCCTATAAATTTTGAACGTACATCTCATATTGAACACATAGATTAAGTTGGTCATGTGGGCCCCCTACCCAGCCATATAGCCGCAGCGCTCGGCCCGAAAGTGCCTTAACCTAACCCTAAATATTTACTAATTTTGTTGAAAATTGAAGGTCTGTCCTGATGTACAAAATTGATAGGAGGGGGGACCAAAACTCGTTTTCTAGGACAGACCCAAATTTTGATTATGCTAGAAGTTAAAAGGATTTCCATATTCAGTTAGATTTTTTATTCAAGATTTACAATCTAGAAATATTAACAAAATAATAAATATTTTGATATTTCAAAAGAAATATTTTGATATTTCAAAAGAAATATTTTGATATTTCAAAATAAATATTTTTTTTTATATTTAAACGACTTCTCAAAGAAATCTTCCAAAATTAATATTACTACTGATCTAAAATCTGGCACTTTTTTCGGAACTTGCAAAATTTTCTCAAAGCCTGATCAAAGTAGAGCCTAAGATTGTTTAAAAGAAAGAAATTGGGCTCCAGTAAGTTAATATTCAGAAAATATTTATTAGAATTGGTTAATTTTGAATTTTGACTTAAAATTCGACGTTTATATTCAAATTTTAAAAAAGTAAAAAATAAGTAAAAAATTGCTGACATAAAAATTGTTTTGGTTTTTGTAGCCGGGGTTCTTCTAATTCGTATATTGTTGGTTCTAATTACAAGTCTTGTTTGAGGCTGAGCGGTCACTATTCTTATTCTTCAATTTATTACTCCGAGTCCATTTTAAAGTATGCGAAGTAACAATCTCTGATTTCATCTTCAACCTTCAAAAAAACGATTTTTCTTGAAAATTTTCCGCAGAATTGATCCTGACATTGTTATCGATCTCTACGCTGAAGTATTTATTATCTAATAATACTAGATGTTTAGACAAGAAACTTGTTGAGCATATTTTCCTGTAATAAAAGTTCCTGCAGGTTCTTTGTTCAATTTAATCTGATGAAAGATTGAAGATAGACGCATTTCAATCTTATACCCTTTTTACAACCTTTATACTAGCGATATAAAATAAAAACATGCACTCTCGTCCACCCTTGGCCAGGACTTGGAGATTTTGGACTATTTATAATCTTGAACCCGCCTCTGCTACCAGGTGTAGGCGCACAACTGGGGGGTTGGGTGCAAGAAGTCCCTAATAGGGGTCCATATAGTTCCAAATATAACTAATTTTTCAAAAATTTGCAGAAAAAATAGGCCCCCATAGTGTTTTTTTTAACCTACAATCATTTTTGCCCCCCAACTCTTAAAGAAAACTCAAATTCCATTATAACATTTTTTCAATATAAGCTCAGATTTCTTTTATTTTTGCCCCCTTTCTTAAAAAAATGTCCTCAAATTGGATTTTTTAATATATACTCCAACATTCTTATTCAAATTGCCCCACCAGACCTAAATTCGCACCTTTTTTAGAATGCCAGTAAATATTTATAATTGGCACCTAAATTTAATTTATTTTTATCCCCAAATGTTAAAGAATTTTAAGGTAATTACTCCAAAATTAAGCAGTTTTGCGCCCAACAAAAAAGCCCTTTGATTAAAAAAACCCCTTCGTATACATTGAAAATGCTCTTAAATAAAAAAATTTGCCCTCAAAATAAATATTTAAGATTTCTCATACACAAATTGGCCCAAACCTGGAGTATTAAACCTCTTGTGCTACATGGTGTACCTGGAGTACTAAACCTCCTGTGCTAATATGTGTATCTAGAACACACTCCCTGTGCTGCAAGGTGCACCTGGAGTACTAAACCTCCTGTGCTAGGTGTACCCGATGTAACCTAAAGTACCTAAACCCTTGTGATTCCAGGGTTTCCATGAGAACTTAACCCCCTATCTTCAGGTTTGAAGATGCTCTAGCAACCAGAGCTAATTTTATCCTATTCTAATCTAATCTAAATCTAAGTTAATCCTTCCCATCATCTTAACCTCTATCTTTTTTCTGAACCCTTCACCCTTCTTTAAACCTTCATTTCATTGTTCCTTTCTGGTGAGCTAGTTTTTATAATGCCAGATATCTAGCTTTAAATTTGGCTATCTTGCTTGTAATATCTAATAAAAAATAGCTTCTCTATTATGAACCTGAATCCCCTGTATCTTGTATAGTTGGTTAGTGTCTGGATAGAGTTTGAAGGTTTTTAAACCCCATTTTCGGTTCTTATATTATACCAATTTAGTCACAGTTAAACTCAACCTGTATTTGGAGTTTTACGACATAATTCGGGGCCTCAACCACTTTCAAGCCTTGGATCCTATTAAAGTTCAAAATATGAGTAGTTGTTATATTTTACATATATTTTGAAGAAAGAAAGCCGGGATAAATTTCTAGCTGCAGCAGGAAAAATAGTCTTGCAATCAAATACAACGGGAATAAGAACAAATGTTTACAATCGGTTTAAAAATAAATTGCTTCGTTTTGCGAATGCACTTATGCAATTGTGCATATATATTATTGCATGGTGGGCCGACCCATTGGCTTTAGAATTTGCAAACTTCGTCCTAAAACTCGTGGATTTGTTGATTATATTTCCCGCATTCCGATTCACCCAGTCTGTAAATAAACAATTCTATTTTGTTTGTTTTTTGTAAAAAAAATCTTGCCAACTTTTGGGTAACGCTCGACTAAAAACCCCCAAGCCGCCCCCTCATCAAATATTCCGAAAGGTTTGGAACACAAAAAAATTGGGTCAGAGGCTACAATAGATTTAATTATATTTTTATATTTAAAGATGTTGCTGGAACCAACGATTATCTTGGTATTTAAGTATTTGACCGCCATTGTTTCAACAATATACGAGAATTAAGTTATTCTTATTTACTCTTCTCCTTCAAGATACTTTAAATTGCTCTTCAAACGTACAAAGTGTCCCAAAAAGTCCCAATTGAACTTAATCCTTAATTTCCTTTGAAACAGATTTTTTGTTTTTTGAGGACACAGTATAAGTTTCTCTTCTTTACTGCTTTATATGTCCCTAAAATTTGCCTTGGTATAACAGCTTAAGGTGGGGGAGGGGGGGGGGGGGGCGGTTAGGTTTTCTTGTCTTAAGAATTATCTTTGAGTTCTTATCAGTCGGGCTTCTGCCATTGCCCTCTACATCTCAACTTATATCTGAACCTTCTCAATCTCATCTTCCCCCCCCTCCCTCTCCAGGTTACCCCCCCCCCTGAAACTTGACTCTTGTATTGTTGACCACGGGAAAGGGAAAACAAAGCTGGAAGATTTCGCAGATTATCACTCATTATCTTTCCTATGCTTTTCTTCATAATCTTTACTCTTATTTATCTTCATTATCCATTAACCCCCTCTGCCCCTCCACCTTTCTTAAAAAATGTGTTTTTTTTTGGGTACATATGGAAGAGAGGCTGTCGATAAACCTTTATGAACCAATTTGTTACTTTTTCATGCTCCGTCTTAGTTTGAGGTTTTCCATTTAAGACAAATTATATTTTATTTTCTCGTCAAAGTTGAACATTTTAATTTTTGTTGTTGTAGATAAGGAAAACAAGTGAGTGGCTCACTTATTAATAGGCCTTAAAAACTTAGCTGTATAACTTTAAACATTTCAAAACTGTAATTCTGTTAAAGTTTGCGTTTATCAAATTATAATGCATTATTTATCGGAAGAGAGAATAAAAAGGAAAAACAAACCTACCTCATGCAATAAAAATCGTTATTTTTTCATATTTTGTCTTTCGGGGTCAAAAAGAAAGCAACATTTTATACAAAAAAACTATTTTTAAAATTGTAAAACTTTTCAGATTTTTGTGGAACCAAAAACTCTGAAAACCAATTTTAAAACTAGCCAAAATTCTGAAAAACCCATCTTAAAACTAGCTAAAACTCTGAAAACCCCATCTTAAAACTAGCCAAAACTATGAAAAAAAAAAAAAACTTAAAACTAGCCAAAACTATGAAAACCCATCTTAAAACTAGCCAAAATTCTGAGAAACCTATCTTATTACTAACCAAAACTCTGAAAACCCATCTTATAACTAACCAAAACTTTAAAACCACCATCTTAAAACTAACCAAAACTCTGAAAACCCATCTTAAAACTAGCCAAAACTCTGAAAACCATCTTATAACTAACCAAAACTTTAAAAAAAAAACCAACTTAAAACTAGCCAAAACGATAAAAAACCACAAGTGGCGGTTGGATAGATAGTGGTTTTATATGTAGTTAGATAAAACTTAAACCACTCATTAGCCCTTGTGTCTGAAAACAGGCATTTTAATTCTGCGCACGTATATATGGCTCTAAATTCACTTGGATGTAATTAAACAACGTTTAAACTTTTTACCCCGGGTGGGGGGGCCTCGGGGCACAATTAAACAAGATTATTTTAGGTTGACATTTTTGAATTGGTTACTGGTTTCTCATTTGGATAGGAGGAGAGTATAAGATCGAAAGATAGGTACCTGTCCTACCTACCCACCTGGATAGAAAGATAGAAAGAATAGATAAATAGATAGATAAATAGATAGATAGGTAGCATGATTAGAATTCTGATCTAAAAGATTCTATCAAGAGTTAACGAGACAACTACTACATTTCAAACCTAACTCAGAATTCTATAAAGCTAATTCTGATTTTATAAAGCAGAAATTATAAATGTTCCAACCCTTAACTTTAAATCTGTCGAATAGAAAATAATCAATCTTTAATTTCAAGTCTGGATCAAATGAGATTAAATCCAAATCTTTAATCTTCAACCTCATCTATTTCTTGTCTCCAAGCCAAAGACCTGAAAATTTAAAAAGTTTATTTAAACAAATTTTTAAAATCAGATTGTCAAGATCGTAGGATAGGAGGGAGGGGGGGGGGGGGCTGAAACAAGGTTAGATACCTAAAACTACAGCTACAACTACAGCACAGATACAGCTACAGATACAGCTACGTACACAGCTACGCACAGCTACGTACAATTACGTACAGCTACATACAGCTACAGCTACGTAAAGCTTCAGTAACAGCTTTAGCTCTATTACTCCCATACAAAAATAGTTTATTGACAAAAGTTTATAAGGTTAAGTATCCCGTGATTTAGTTTAAATCCAACCGAACCTAATCTAAAAATCCATTTCAACTGTTGGCTGTAATTATAGGAGGCTGAAAATACACGCTTAAAGAAAATAAATCATAGGACGGACATCTAATCTGTGTGGAGAGGCTTGGAGGGTTGGTCATTATTAGGCAGTTTTTACTCTAGCTCCGAGCAATTCTTATATATAACATCATTTAGGTTAAGAAAGAAGGGAGAGAGTGGTGGGGGGACATTTTATAATCAGGATTGTACTCAACATATTTTGTTTGCTTTGATAATACATAAAAGTTTCAAGTTTAATTTTAAAGTCCGAAATCCGCAATATTGAAGTATGAAATCCGCAATATTGAAGTCTGAAATCCGCAATATTGAAGTCTGAAATCCGCAATATTGAAGCCCGAAATTCGCAATATTGAAGTCTGAAATCCGCAATATTTAAGTCTGAAATCCGTAATGTTGAATGTGAAAAATCCCAAGCAGTCTTTATAGGTCTAGAATGACACATAAGTATTTAGATTACCCATTGTTCATTTCTACTTTAATGTGTGTTTGCTGTTTATATGTCAATAGTTTATAGCTATTTATCTATTCGACCTAGCATTCCAATAGTTTTAATCAGATATCTTTGTATCTTTTACATTCATTTTATTTGTTCATTCATTAAATCATTCATGACAATCTATAAAACCCTTTTATTTTGGTTAATTCATTCACACGTCCTTTTAACAAGAATGCATTCATTTATTCATCTTTTTGCCAATTCACCAATTCATCCAAATGAAGATTAATTTATAGATTGGCAATTCTGATTCAAACCTGGTGTCCTTTAAACTCTTGCCTGATAAATAATGTGGTAGAAATATTTGTTTTTCCAGCTAAAAAGTGCTCAGTTCCATAAAGCCACTTAAATTACGTACAGTCCTTTTAAGTAGAACTTTATCCCTGTATTTAACTGGACAGTACACAGTCCTATTTGCGGTCAAACATTTTCAATTACAGTTGGTTTTATACTGTGGCTGGTTTTTAGGTTTATTATTAACATTCTTTAAACCTTAAAATACCCAAAACTTTTTCCTTTTTGTCTGACGTAGTAAACCTAAATATTTTATCGAATTTTTTCCCTTTTTCAACCAATCTTCATCCTATTGTTTTACTTATATAGACATTGCTTGGATTCTTTTGGAAGAAACCGTTTAAACTTTTCNAAAGGAATTGTCTATAAAATTTAAATGACTTAATTTTTTTAGCGCCTTAAATGATTATAAACGTTATATATTGTAACGCATTCGTTATTATGTTTGGCGGTAAAATTTAGTGTTTACTATAAAATGAAAAATCGCTTAAATTTTACGTTGGCAATCGTTTAAACTTTGTGCATTCCTCAAAAATGCAAGTTGCAAAAAAATTTAAGTTTCACTGACCCCCCTTGGCTTTTAAAGCCGGGGATGCATTTTAATCTAAATTTAATGTATTTCTATTTCGACGAATTCCTGGATAGATAAAAATGTGAAAGAATTTCTTAAGTTTCTCTCTGTCCAACTATAGGTCGAAACAAAAAAGAAATGATATTTTATTGTGTGCCTCGGTATCCCGGGATATACAAATTAAACCCTATCATGAACAAAACTCCGTCTAGGGTTTGGAAAGGTCTGCTATTAGCCTTTCAAACTAAAAATGCTGCATTGTTTTCACTTGGAGCCGGGAGTTTAAAACAATTTAACCGAGTTTAACTTAAGTTTTCCGAACTTTAGTCCCCCACACAAAGTACATTCATCTTAACTCTAAAACTCTAAAAAATCATTTTAAAGGGACTGTAAGCATAATTTCAAGTAACCTCCCATTCATAGATGGCATTGCCTGATTCACAACGGTACCAAGTTAAAACCCTTATCTGATCAAAGATTTGGAAGATCTTGTAATTTTTTCTAGGTTTAAGAATGAATAATTTTGATAATTCATGTATGTTTTCTGCAGTAGAAATGCGCAAGTCACTTTTGCAGTGGAACCACTATTGAAAATAATCTGTTTTCAAAATTATAAACGTTGACATCTAATTCATACAACCAAAGTTTGGCATCGTTGTGAATCGGGCATTGACTTCTTTGCATAGAGTGATGCTTAAAATTACGCCTACAGTCCCTTTAAATGAAAACTCATAAAAATAGAAATTAAGATTTTCTCCTGGTATTATTATGAATATTGTTTTTTCATTAAATTACTCAATCTGTGAAAATTCCCATTCTTTTCTTTGTGTTTGTATCCTTGGTTAATTATTCCATCTGTTAACTATATTTATCTATCTATCTATCTATTCATGATGGGCTGCCTTTACGGCCTTGTAATGTCAGGCATTGACTTGGATTCAAGGGCCTGGATAATTCTATATGTATTCTCAGTACACCCAAGATTGATACTAGAAGGGGGGTTCCCCCCCCAAAAAAAATGGCTTGATAACTTTTACTCAATTTTTATATGTTCAGTAAAAAAAATGTTAAAAAATATTAGAACGATAGGAGGAGATGGGTATGGATAATGCTTGATTATGCTTGAAACCCATTGGTAACTTCCTTGGCTTATTTTTGGCTTAAAATATTTCCGGAAACTTTTATCTTCCTCATATTTAGGTCCTTGAATTTTCTTCCGTTTTTAGTAGATGAAATAGATTTAGTAATTATTTATTTTGTACCTTGAGTTAGGTTTATTTATACCAATTCTACAGTATATTTTGTACCCTGAGTTAGGTTTATTTATATCAATTCTACAGTATATTTTGTACCCTGAGTTAGGTTTATTTATACCAATTCTACAGTTTATTTTGTACCCTGAGTTAGTTTTATTTATACCAATTCTACAGTTTATTTTGTACTCTGAGTTAGGTTTATTTATACCAATTCTACAGTTTATTTTGTACCCTGAGTTAGGTTTATTTATACCAATTCTACAGTATATTTTGTACCCTGAGTTAGGTTTATTTATACCAATTCTACAGTTTATTTTGTACTCTGGGCTTTTTTATTATTATTCCAAAGCTTTGGTTTATTCTTATTAATTCTTCAGTTGATATTGCAACTTTAGATGGGTTTAATCCTTCAGTTGATACTGCACCTTGAGCTAGGTTTAATCCTTCAGTTGATACTGCACCTTTAGATGGGTTTAATCCTTCAGTTATTATTGTACCTTCAGCGATGTTTAATCCTTCAGTTGATATTGTACCTTGAGATAGGTTTAATGAGTTTAATCCCTCAGTTGATATTGCACCTTCAGTTAGGTTTTATTCTTCAGTTGATATTGCACCTTCAGCTAGGTTTAATCCTTCAGTTGATATTACACCTTGAGCTAGGTTTGGGTTGATATTTCTCAGGGATGTCAGACGGAATCATCCGCGTATGACATCCTTCCGGAATTATTAACGAGCAACTTGTTGAATGGCGCGTGAAGCTCTTGGTGTTATTTTGCTCAAGTATAATTTCTCCATGTTCTCCCAGATATCGCCAACGGTTACAAGAGGAAACGGAGAGTGGGCGGTTTTTTTCAAGAGTAGAAACAAAGGGGGGAGGGGGGCAGATTTTCTGCGGTATTCTCACTGCTTTAATTCTTGCGAGAATCTACAGAATTTTGATGCAGTTTCTGTGCAGTAGCATTTTATTGGTTTATTTAAAATAGTGTTCTCAAAATTTAGAGCTAATTATACATGCATACGCATGTAGTCGCCGAGTTCTAAATTTAGATTTTTACATCAAATCCGGTTTCCTCTCCTGTAGATTAAACCTAGTAAATTTAAACCATTTTCAAGGATAAAATGTAATTTGCAAGAAATGAAAATATTTAAACATAATTTGAGGAAATTAGACATTTTAACCCAAAACCACAGTAATATATATATATATAACCGTAATAACGTACAAACCCATTTTTCATTTCTTTATAAATTGATATCCCACAAAAATACCACATTTTTATATTTTTTATTTCAGTTTGTATCGGTACTAACGGACGAATGTCAGTTCCTTCAAATAGAGATCATCATTATAGAAACCTTAGAGATAGGTGAGATATAGACAATAGACAGACACGGACACAGACACAGACGTCAGACAATAGAAAGACAAAAAATGGACAGCTCCATAGACATTCAAAAAGACATTTTCTAAAAACAAAAAATTTACGAAGTCAAGATTAATTTTTTTTTACAAAAATGTTGATTTTTGATCAACTAAGAATGTCCCAAACTAATTATTTGATAGAAATGCCGAATATATTAACGTTTTACAAAATATTTTTATGTAATATTTACATCTCGTAAACCTTGGAGCGTAAAATCTGCATATAAATTAGGTATAATACCCTCATGAACGTCTATTTTTGTGTTGTTATGTATTTATATTAAGTACTTTAATGTGAGTGTTCACCTTTTCAAAAATAGATGTTGAGATTCTGTACACTGTATACTATACACTGTGTACCATATGTTTAGGTACTCAAACTGTACATATATATATATGCAATGTACACAAACTTCATATATCTGTACATATAGGTCAGGTAGATGAACTTACCATTTGTTAATGTTAAGGTACACGAACTGTACGTATGTTGATGGTAACCTGGAGCTAACCTGGCTCCAGGATGAGAACCTAGATCTATCCTTCCTTCAACATATCCGTGAGGTCACAGGATATGTCCTCATATCACACGTTGACGTTAGACGAATCGTCCTGCCCAGCTTGCAAATCGTCCGGGGACGAGATCTGTTCAAGCTAAACGTCCAAAATGACGAGTTTGCGCTGATCGTCACCCTGTCTAAGATGAACAACCTGGAGATGCCTGCTTTAAGAGGTCAAATATCCCCATCTCAGACAGTTTCTCCATAACTCAGCCTCATCGTAATCTAAATCTTCAAATATTCGACGATATCTCCCATTTTCAAATTAGACTCTATTTATAAGAAGGGAAGGGGGGGGGGTGCCAG